TTTCAAAATATAGACTGCGACTTGTTAGATCAATACTTTCTTTTATCGCATCTTTATCCGTTGACATGAATAGAACCGTTTTGAAAATTCCACCTCCAGAAAAAAATTATTAAGGAAGAATCTTAGTTCAATGACCGAAAATATTGTTTTCACTTTTTCTTTATTTTTTCGAATAAAAGACAATTCAACAAATCAAAGACAACATACAACTAGATACATCGAAAAACTCTACGTCTTCTTTTACAAAAAAGAAATCTTCAGCGGAAGTATACATGAATAAAAAAATTGATTTTCAAATAATTGTGGTTATTGAGTTGATCAACGATACTTTTTTAGCATATCATACTTCTACAGTGCGAATGTTTAGTATATGTTTTGCTCTTGAAAAGACAACGTATCAATAAAATCTACGAAAAAATCTCATTGAAAAAAATATCTCTGTCAAGCCAGGCAATTTAATCTGAGATACCTAATATTTCCCACCACAAGAGCAGAAATTTGCTTAGGTCTCACGCAAAAAAGAGATCTATCGTTTTTTATTTCATTTTCATTCAATTTCAATTTATCTTGTTAATAAAGCAAAATATTTGTTCTTATTTTTAGTCTAGCTATATTATGAATCATTGCCTTCATCAATTGAGAAATGTCGAATTGGAATATAAAGATGATAATGTGAGAATAAATATACGTCAAAATTCTTTCGATGCACCACAATATTTGACCAGGAAAATAGAACATTTAATTCATGAATTAGCTTTTCAAGCGACAATGATTGTTTTTCAGTGTCTCGATAATGCTCATACATTGATAACCGATCAAAAATCACAATTAACAATGATTGCTCAAAGATACAATTGTCAAATCGATTTCATCGATGTGAAAGTTCAAAATGAAATTATAACTTTACCAAAAAGTATAAATTCATCAACAATAGAATTAACACCGAAATATTTAATTGAACAATCGAATCAATTCTATTCAAGTATAGGAATTTTGAAGAAAATATCTATTTCAAATTTCGAAATCGAAATTCATCGAACAGAGAATAATCAACTACCAAAAGTTAGTATAATTTCTTCTCTTTCTTATTTATCTTTTTTTCCTCGTACAACAATTTTAGATAGATATTCTAATTATTTCAGCGGTTAAAGATGCGATAAAAGAAAGTATTGATCTAACAAGTCGCAGTCTATATTTTGAAAATGATATTGGTAGAAGAATTTTATTTATTCCATGGATGCTATTAACTGTATCAGATGTAGATGTAAATCAGACGAATAGTCATCTTAGAAAATCAATAAATGATTTTATTTCGACAACATTGAAACAAGTGAGAGCATTTTGCAAAGATCATGTCATTACTATTTGTTTTTCAACAACCGATTGGGAAAATTTTTCTTCGTTTGAAGAACAATTTGCTAATGAAATATTTAATTCATTGAAAATTGAACTTGAAACAAGTGAATATTCAAATTATAAATGCAAAATTCTTTTTACTTTCGATGATCAACAAATTGATCTCTACAATCGATTTTCACAAGCAATATCATCCGTACAAACAAATAGCAATACTGATGAACAATTCTATTATCCAATAGCAAGTATGTCATTTATGTTTTCAATTGCAAGTTTCCTGAAGTTAGAGAATATGAATTTCATATTGTAGAGAAAAGAGCTGTTAGTGCAATCATTGGGAGAAAAAAATATGTACGGTTATTTCCATTGACAAATATATTGTTTTCTTCGATCTAGCTTCAGACCCATGTTTTTCATCATCTTTTATTAAATCCTTCACAACTACAACTAGAAAGAAGCTTATATATTCTTTTGACGCACTAGTGATAATTAATCGTTAATCGTGTATTTAAAAAAGTCTGTGATGATCTGAGGCGAGGGACAGCACAGTGGATAGCCAGGTAATAAACTCGATTTTTTATATATGAGCCTAAATTGTAGCTGGGATTCAAATCATTATGGTGTTGCATTTTAATGTGCCTTAGATTCTAATTGAAAGTGAACAGTCGCCTTGTGACAGCCTCTATAAAGTAGGTAAAATAGTTTAATATCACTAATATGGTCTTACAAGTAGAATTTATGTTTCAAATTGAAGACCTTATTATAGTTATTAGATATTATGCAGTTACGTAAAGTTATATGTTGATGGTATAGTACGGGCATTTCAAATTTTCTGGAGTTTCTTCTGCTCTCAGAGGACCAGGAATCTGTCTGTAGTAAACTAAAAAAATAACGACTAATGAATAATACCATTCTTTTTTCGGAATTTTCTTAGAACTTTTATCATAATTTTGATTTATTATATAAAAGGACATGTCATCGTTCACCTTTGGCTGTTGCATAAATATGTGTACTCTAGCCCTTATTGAAATAAGACATATTAGGCTTAACCTGTGTTGTAGATTTATTCAGAGTGATTTATAATTATCATTCTTGATTATCTTTTAGATCGACTAAGTTTCCAATAGGCAAATTCAAGCTCAACTATTTCAATTTTTAAACATCTATATCGAATGTTTGGTTTTAAACATAATCCATAGATAACATCTAATTTTGGAGCTCCTATCAGAAAACAACGATAACTCGTTAGGGAATCTGTTCAAATAGTAAATCGTTTTTGGATCACCAATATATTCATTCGACGGATGTCGATGACCGTTGAAGAAGTCTTGATTAATTCTGTTTTCCAGATCTTTATTCTTATGATATCGAATTTTTACTGGAGTTTTCAAAGAAACTATGTATTCTTCCTGAAGTCACATTGAAAGCTGCATATTGACTTTTAACTTTAAACTTTGCACAAATAGTACTTTTAATTGACCTAGTTCATTCTGAAATTTTCAGCTTTTTCTATTGTGGAAACGCTAGTACAAGCACTACATTTTCGTTCCCACACAATAGAATTTTGTATATTTGTATCTCATGAGAGAAACAATGAAAAAGGCGGAAACTTTCAGAATGATCTAGTTGTATTGACAGCAGTGTTTATGCAGAGTTTGATATCAAAACTAAATAGTCAATTTTCAACGCAGTCTAAAAAGGATGTACGGATTTTTGTGAAAAAATTCAGTAAAGAAAAACTTTTTTCAGAAAGCTTACAAACCAAAGAAGCTACCCAAGCACACTTAATCAGTATTGCGTGAGAAACATAATTAGACAAAATATCAAGCTATTGGCGACAGTATTTTGAGGTATTCCTCCTGGTCCAGATTTTCTATCTATTGGACGGGGGCGAGGGTGGGACACTATTTCTAGCCTACACAGTTCAACACTCCTTTTATATTATGGTTCACAAAAAATGAATTTCGAGCATAAGCTTACCATCAGGAGACCATGGTATTTTTCAAATACCATTAGATCAAGGCAAAAGTTGTACATAATCAAAAATGATCAGTATAATATACTACTTTTGGAGTAGTGCTATTTGATCTATTGATTCAACGGTTAAATATCAGGCCTTTGTGAACTAGTCTTTAGTTCGAATTGGTTTTTCATTTGAAAAAAGAAATACAAAGTATAACTTAAAAAAGTAACATGTGTTTTGAGTCTCGTGTTAGTTAGTCAATAGCAGAGTATCGATCAAATGATAGTACGAAATTAATGCATTCGTATCAAGCATACTATATTAAGAGGCAATCCACAACTACTTATACTCTGTGCGTGAATAGGTGCTTGCCAAGAAATAACTTAAAAAGCCTGTAATTAATTGTACCGTATTACAAGAATACGATAAAGCTGCTTTCATGAACGTCATATATATTTTGTATGTGCTATCAACATGTGTCATGACCAAATCTGTCTGGGTTCGTTTTATAAGATTCTATCTGACGAAGAAGGTAGAAACCTGCTGTCGTACTTTTCTAATACTTAAATATTGAATTACGATGGAACATTTGAAATTTATCGTCAGGCACATTTGGTTTTGATGAGTGTAGATGGGAAACTCACCCACAACATTATTTATGTGTACGTCCTACATCAACTTAATCTTTACCGATTAGAATATAATCAATAATTGAATTGCTACATTACACCACATAATGTCCTTTATGCCCGATAAAACATAAAAGTTGGAATTCTGCTTCACACAGAGTATCTTTTCTACAAAGATTCAGACGATAATGTCTTTGGAATTCAATAAGATCGTTGCAAACCGTTTTTCTTAATAGGCGTCAGTTCATCATATATTATTTGAACGACAAATCATCATCTAGTACTTGCAGGCAAAGACGTGTTGAAGCGAATGAAATACGAAAACATATACTCATCCACATACAAGAAGGATTCAATTAGAGAAACAGGGGCAAGTCGAAAGTGTCAGACCAAAAGTCGAAAAAAGCGTCAAACATGTTCTCCAAATTTGAATTTTTACCGATTTCATAGAAATTTTTCTGATGGATTTCTTCAAAATCGGAGTAAACTGTCTAACAGTTTGCTTTCGAAAATTCCCAAATACAGGCAAAGTTCCAATCAGAACTTTTCAGAACAGGAGTGACCCCAGTTCGCACCGCCCTCCTCGTGGAACATACGTGATATTTTTTAAAACAAAGGATATGCTACAACTTTCGTCTATTACAGAACTAAGAGGAGCTCCGCTTATCTATAGGAATTAGTTTTCTTTGATCAGAAGCGTATACCCTAGTGAAAGTATGAAATGAGGATTTCGCCTTTTCTGATCATTATTCTCGTGTGAAATCTTGATTGGTTGAAATCAACTTAGATGAGAGAATAGATCATTTTCGAATAAAAATAAAAATCGATTTTTAAGTACTTGTAATTAAACACTGGTCATTTTTTTGTAGCCGTCTCCATAGTTTTAAAAGCGACCAATCAATATAGTATTCGTAGTTGCCATAATGCCATTAATACCTATATGAGAAAAAACGTTTTTGGAACAATCAAACTCAGCAATACATTCGATTCAAACATTTGGAATCAGCATATGATTAATGTCTTCTATAAATATTGTATTGATCATTCTGTTTTACCGAAATTCTGCCGTATGGAGAAAGAAACAAATCAACCATGTTATTTAGAATTAGCCAGTTCAATTGTTTTTATGGATGAATTGAAACAAAAATATGAAACCATGTCTGAAATTATGAAGCAAAAACTGATAGTATTCGAAGCAACAACTGAACAAGTCGAAAATGTTGAATTCAATAGACTAAAATCAAAAGATGATGCAAAACTATCGAAAATATATAATGTAGTAATTGTTTGTTGTCCTGATGATGCACCATCCGCGCATACTCTGGCTGATCGTTTGATCGATGACGGTTATTTAGTTTGTGTCAATGATACGAATCAATTGTCATTGATTGTTGGTACCAATTTTGAGAAAACTGATCTTTTATTAATTTATTTCAGTAAAGAATATTGTGAAAATGCTGATCGTATGGCACAACTTGAACTTATTAGAGCTTCCGGAAAGAAACTAATACCAATTCTCGTTACAAATAGTATTTCAAATCAAAATATAGATTGTCTTCATACGATGACTACTATCGATGTCTTCTATAAATCGTTTAAGCAAGAAATCCAATTTGAATTGAATGATTTTAACAGTTTCGATTATGACAAATTATTAATAGAGTTGGTAAGTAATTACATGAAAAAAAAATAGCACGCTTGCATCGAATGAATTTTGTACTGAAGAACTGTGTAGATGGGATGCTTCTCATTAGAAAGTGTTCAAAAAATAAAGCATGCACTCGATACTTCTAAAGTGGATCGATAAATAAATGCATGTAAAATTATTGCAATCGTTTCCTATTCGGATAAAATTATATGATATATTAAAAACACAAGCATAACGAGCATACTGGAGACCTTCCCAGATATTGGAAAAGAACCTTTTGTGGAACTGCCGTATCTTGTCACAGAAAATAATACTGAGTTTAAGTTTAAATCCAAGTTTTGAGGCTACATCCTATACCATAACAACCAATCGGCACGGAACGAAAAACTTCTGGATATAGTTCTGTAGCAATAAACGAAAATGCGTAAGTGGTATCATTAAGCATATGATAGTTGAATTCTGTCGATGTTGAATAGTCTAAATATAGTGAGTTCTGGTTTTTAATTGCAACAAAAGGATCCTACTGTAGGAGAAAATCATTAATGCTGTAATATTTTTAATTTAACGGAGTCTGAATAGTCCTAAGATAAACTAGTATAAACTCGATCAATTATAAGCTTAAGAAAATTCAGCTCTGCATCTGAAAAATTCGTCGAGAGGACGAATGATTTGTTCGGTAACTTACTGAATCAATCTATGTAATAGGCTTATATGGTAGTTGAACTGATGAAATGAAAATTATATTTACCACTCTCTATGACATCACTTATATATATATATACTATCATTAAGAGAAAATGAGTTTTTTGACAGTACAATCATATTAAATAATTCAAATAAGTTGACAGAGAAATCATTTTAACGATTAAGTTTAATATTTCTTTCAGAGATTGGAGAAGTATAAGTACAAATATTTCTTACTTAGGATTTGTATTTCTGACTTTTACTTACGCAAATGTACTTCAATGTATTTACCAACAATTTGTCTTACTTTTCTTGTCACGATCAGACGTATCGGTTCAGTATTACCATTCGATTAATTGATAAAGATTTTAATAATTTTTTATTAGAATTAAAAAGTTAATGAAATTCTTTGGCATCAGTTTTGAATCAGTATTAACCTAATACAAATAATTTTGTTCTTTTATGAGAAAAGTATTGCCAAAACGAGCAGAAACGTTGTGCTATTAGAAAACAAAAGTATTTGTATTAGGCTAATGCTAATTTAATACTACTGCTTAACCATGATTGTAACTTCTTAATCTTAATATAAAGTAATTGAATAATTTGGATCAATTAATATAATGCTAGTTTGAAGATGACACCCCTAATGCGGCTAAAAAACAAGACAAGCAGTTAGTGACTGCGTTCAGGCACATGTTTACTAAATACCGATGGTATTTAAGAAAGAAGGACTATATATTGTACTGAATATCCAATATCTGCTTTCCTGAACTTTCAAATATATATTACATACCGATATTACAACTTCGTGGCACTTTTGTGTCGAACTTGCTTCGATTTATCTAAGTATCAAATAGCTATTAATTACTTGATAACACTAAAAATAGACTATAAATGAATACTTAAATTTTCATTTGAATAACATATACTATAGTTTAAAAATTAACTTAAAAGAAATTATCTGTAAAAATTAAACTTGATTTTATACATCGGGTGTCACATAATGATTTCAATGCTGTACATTTCGACTATATCTTAGATTACAAAAAAGATGAAATTTTGAACTTTTTTAGAAGATTTGTGGTAAAAAGCTCTACAAAAGTCTATATAAAGACGTTTCTATTGAAATCTAAATGTTCCATCATATTGAGTATGATAAAAATGCTGTGGAAAATTTTTCTTTTGCTATAAGAAACTGATAATACAGATATATAAACGACAAAATATTGTTTATATTTTCATCATGAAAAATACGATGAGAAATGACACTCTTATGTCAGTTGTTCATCTAGAGTGTGAAAAAAATCATCAGAACAAATCTATAAGAATTTCATTATACGATTTCTATAGATCTTTTTATTGTGCATCTTTTTAAAAATATTTCAAAATTCTATTATTTTCATAAGCCGACATATAGATAAAATATTGAATTTTGTAAGCTTTTTAACGTATTCGGTAATCATTCATCTATTGTGATGGTAACAAGTTCGGTAACTAATGAAAAAGCTTTTTAAAATACTATACTCCTATTCAAACAGCACATAAACACACATGCAGAATAGAATTCAATATATATGTTGCAGAAGAACTTTAAATTTCAACTTTAACTGGAATTTTTCCACCAAAAAAAACTTCAAATTTTAATTTTTTCTATAGGAAATATTAAAACATTTTTATGTTCGGCAGAATCGATAGAAGATTAACATGTAAAAAAGTAGACATTTAAATAAGCACCGCGCACGTTGCTTAAGTAGACATTCTTATATTATATTTTCATGAACATAGAGTACTTTTATAAAGTACTTGACAATCATATCCAAGATGTAAATCACGAATTTCTAGATTAGCTTTCTATAAGACAACCATTATACAATGATATTTATTTAGTTTTCCATCATGACTAAAGAAAACGTCAATAAAAAATCTAGGTACATGAGAATTTTAAAGAAGCAACATGGTGACTTAGTGACTTTGAAAATTGACAAAGTAGACAGAGTAAATGCTATATTTAAAGTACTATCATGCAAGAGAATATTGTTTTACTAAGCTTCAAATGATATGGATGTCTATCATTTACAAGAAAGAAAATATATAATTTTTTTCGTGATTTCAAACACTCAATCTAGTGAATTTATCTAACTGTACAGTTCGCAGCTTGTGTGATATCGATTCAGTAACATGACCAGGGATGACTTCATTCAGTCCTGCAAAGCATGTCAGTACACAATCAATTACACCTATTGAAGTATGGAACTCAATGGTAATTGCTCTACAAAGAAATGTTGTTATCAGCCAGTGAAAATGCAATGTGGTATCAAACATCATTCATCAAAAACTAAATTATGTTCTTAGAACTAGTTCGAATTTCGTAGTTTTTAAACAGAAAACTAATATATTTTACACCGGGTGTTCTGGAATATTTAAAATTTTCCTGAATTTTTAGTTCTCCTACGACATATATTTATTTCGGGACGTTGTTCTAAGAACACTCGTATTCATTTTAACATGAAGTACAAGACTAAAAATGAATATAAATGAAGCGTATAACTCAAAATAAAAGTGAATGCGAGTTTATGCCTAACGACCAGTAATTCAGGATATAGAATGCTTCATTGAGATTATGATTTTCTCTTAATACAGTCAAAATAAGTTATTTATTGCAAATCATAGATCTGATCATTTGAATAATTCAAAAACTAATCCCTACGAAAGGCTACTGATTGTGTTCCAAGCTTGCAAGTTACTTTTATTACTAAATCTATATCTCTTAATTCTCCGATGATGTTTGTTTGCAAAATTTTCTCATTAAGATTAAGCGCACTGGCAGACTATATATTTGACTACTGCATAAACACTATTGAACTATAATATTCAAAAATCCAGTTAAATGAATGCTTTTTCTTGTGAATTAGTAGAAGTCTGAATGCTATAAGCATTCAGATTTTCCTTACATTATAATATTTTTCTTATTAATATAAAGAAGATGTTTTTATTTAAATCAGAATATAATATTCAACAGAATTATTTCATTGTTAACAGATCATATTGTCTCCAGAATAGATATATAATAAATAAATATATCAACAAAAAGTACAGTTTAATTCCTTTAGATGAAAAATGATGATATGTCTTTAAGGAGACAAATTAGACATAACTAATTATACATCTATGTTATTGTGTACTACAAAAATGAGGACACTCCAAACTCGATGA